GATGTTGTTGGGGATAATGAGGAGAGTGTAAGAACAAAGAGGATACGGATACATCATAAAAAGAAGAAATAAAATTTGTAATTTGAATGCATACATAGCCATGTGCGATAAGAAGAAAGTGTGACCAGAGCGATGGTGGCCGTAGCTATGGTAAAAATAATGATCGGAGTCAATGTGGCTGAAGCCGTAATAAGGGATGATAACCGAAGTCGTGGTGGCCGGAGCCACAATAAAAAATGATAACTGGAGTCATAATGTAACCAGATCCGTGATAAAAAACGATGACCGGAGTCATAGAGGTCAGGGCGGTGATAAAATATGATGACCGGAGTCATAATGGCCGGAGCCGTAATAAAATATGATGACCGGAGTCATAATGGCCGGAGCCGTAATAAAATATGATGACGGGAGTCATGATGGCCGGAGCCGAGGTAAAGTATGTGACATGTAGTCACAATAACTAGAACCAAAGTGAAACATGTGTCCCTGTGGCCGGAGCCGAAGTAAAACACTATGCCAGTTTAAAAGTGTAATTGTATAGGTAAACAGAAGTGCTGAGCTAAGCTTAAATATAAAATGGGAATCAAAATGGCCAGAGCCATAATAAAATATAATGACCGGAGTCATAATGGTCGGAGCCGAAGTAAAATGTGTGATACAGGATCACTGTGGCCGAAGTCGATGTGAAATGTAATGTAGCATTATTATGGCTGGAGCCGAAGTGAAACACTTGACAAAATTGAGAAAAGTAAACAAGGGTGTTGAAATGGGCGTGAGTGGGTCCGTCTGGAAAATCTGACAATGTGGTGTGACAGCTGTCCTTGGAATGACGTGTGCAATAAATGCAGCCGTAAAAAGGTAATTGCAATAGTTAAACGGGCAAATTTAAAAACGAACCGTCAAGTTCAAAACGGTACCGTTTGGGGTTGTCCGTTGAATTCCAAACGGTGTCAATAGGGACCATAAGATTAAACGAATCTCAGCCATTGAGATCTAATTTCGCCCAGAAGTATAAATAGGCTTTTTTTCTGCAGAAAAAGGTTTACTTGCATTTCTTTTCCTGCAAAACTTCTGCGAGAAGCTTCATTGTGCACTTTATGTTCGTGAACTGCGGTAACAACTGGGGATCTCTACATCAAATCTTTCGAAACCGAAATCAGGTATTTTACACGAACCTCTGATTTCAAGTTAATCGAAGTGTTTTTCTCCTTTCTCCCTTTCTGTGGTTGGTTTAGAATCCTTTGGAGGAAGTTAGGGTTGGAGGCGAGAGGGATTTTGAATGTGGAGATGGGGGTTGTGGTTTTTTTTTTTTTTTTAAGTCCTGACTTATTCCTCCCCCCTACTTTGTGCAGAGTTTGAGAAAATGTCTTCAGAAAGGACAGGAAGTGTAGTAGGGAGTGAGGTGGAGCCTCTAGACTATGGGAGCATGGACTCAGAGAGTAGTCCGTCTCCCTCTAGTTCAGAGAAAACGGTTGAAGGGGTGAGAGGGGATGAAATGGTGGACGTTGAGGGAGGAGAGGTGGTAGAGGTGAGGAGAAATGAGGGTAATGGGGTTGAGGTAGATAGCATACCCTTTACCGTAGTAGAAGTAGAAAGTAATGGGGAGAGAGGTTATGATAGGAATGCAGAGATAGTGGAGGAAGTGAAGCAGTACCGATCTGAACTAAGGACCAGGGAGGACCTGTGTCACTTAGTAGAAACGTACGAGATCTCTTCTCGGGTACTAGTTAGGCCAGCTGGGGTAGAGGAGAGGGCATGTTCTGCTCATCGGGATCATTGGATGCCCGTATACTCCCATTATTTGTATGCTGGGCTTAAGTTTCCAATTCCCGAGTTGCTAATAGGTTTACTGTTAGATTACAACATAGGGTTGACACAGTTGGTCCCCAACGCAATGAGGGTAATAATAGGTTTTTTAGTTTATTGCCAAGCTCAGGGGATCAGTGTGCCAACTGTTAATATGTTTAAGTATTTTTTTTGTTTTAAAGGGGGGTAGCAGGAGAGATAAGGGGTGGTATTATTTCACCCCGAGGGTAGCTAATAAGGAGGGTAGAATTTTATTCACTGCGGGTCCTTCATCCATTAAGGGATGGAAGGAAAAATTCTTTTTTGTGGATGACACGGAATGGGGGAAAGGGGATGCTGAGGTGAGGGCGTTAGTCTCCTAGAAGGCCAAAAGGGCCAACCAGAATAGGTTTAGTTTGAATGGGGACGAAGAGGAAGAGGTGGGGAGGTTGGTGAGGAAGAGGGGGGATGTACTAAATATTATGGACCTCACCAGCGCAGCATGCATAGAGGCTGCTGAGCTCTATGGGCCAAGCGCTTTGAGTGAAGGTTTGTTTATCATGTACTGTAGCGTTGAATGTATAGCATAGAATTGTAACTAACATTGTGTTTCTTCCTTTGCAGCTGACATGGAACAGTTTCTGAATACTGCTGGAGGGAAGGCCATCCCCAAGAAGCCAAGGAAGAAGTCAAGGACTTCAGCTAAGCAAGTGGATGAGGGGAGAGCTGGGAAGGAGGTAGTGCCCTTAGCATCAGCTGAGGTGGAGGAAGAGGTGCCAGCACTGAAGAAGAAGGGTTGGGAGGAGAGGAGGGCGCTGCAGAAGAAGCAGAAGGTGGTGGAGGAAGAGGGGAGTGGGGTGCCTGAGTTCGTACCTCAGCCACCTCCTGTGGAGCTGGACCCCGAGCTTAGACAGTTGGAGGAGGGGGCTGAGGTACGAGCTCCTGGTAAGGGAAAGGGCCCTGTTACCTCGACGGTGCCTCAGAGCAGCTTGTTCAAGGCGAAGAACATGATGGGGGCTAGGTGGTTTATCAACAACACCTTCCCCGAAGTGGACAAACGCCACGCGCGAGAGGAGGCTTTGAGATACGGAGGAGCTTCTGTGGTGAAGCACGTTCTTGAGGTA